TCACTCCCCCCCTTTTTTTTTTTTTAATCTTACCTGACCTCGTTCGAGGCTTGCCTCTCGTGATTCGGGGATGTGACATGCCCCCCCAATAGTATTCAAGTTAGAATTCGTCCTTTCCTCGTAATATGTTTGCTATTTATTTTATAAAATGTCAAAGTTGAGAGGAAAACGTTGCGTATTTATGTAAATATTCTATTCAGATTTCCCCGTTCCAACGTTTCTAAGCTTATAAAAAAAAAAGGGGGAAAATTATTGGAGTTATATAAAACTTATAAATTTAATAGAAATGATTATAAGTGCAGAAAACTCCTTCAAAAATTTGACACTAGGTGAAAAATGGCGCTCTATCCGACAGATCCGCGTAATAGATTATAGAAATCGATCGATTGATATGTGAAATGTCATGTTTTGATCATTATAAACGAGAAAACGTCGTAAAATATCCACAAATTTGGTACTAATTTGCGTTACAAACATTAAATACGTATTTGTTGTACTAAGAGGGCCTTTCTCGGACCTAGTAGAACTCACGATAGGACCGAAAAAGGCCCTATTAGTGGCTTACTCTAGTGTATGACATATTTGATACCCAATAATATATTTTACACTTTAAATGAAAACCATTATGCATACATTAGAATGGACAGGAGGTAGCTTTTTTGTTTTTCCGCGTATAAAAGTATCTACAACTTAAAATAACATCTTTAAATCAATTATTAAAATTAATTACTCTTTAATTTCTTTATCAAGTGTATTATTAATTATAGAATTAATTAAAATTTACTTGATAAATCACTTAATTTTGTACATTAATTATACGTAACTCTTACGTGTAACGTATTATTAATGGTAATAATGCAGTACTACATAATTATGACACGGACATGTGTCGGAAAGAAATGATATACGACAAAGCAACACGTGGGCGATGGTGGGGAATGTCTCCCGGGAGGACTTTTAATGGAAAACAGGCCCCTACTTAGGTGTTAGGCACGCTCTGTAGGCACTAAGAGGGCATTTTTAATCATACCCATCAGAAAAGCTAATCAGTCTTGTCTGGGTTGCAACAAACATACGTTTACAATTCTGTAATCGAATGCTATTTAAATAACCCTGTACTATTTTATTATAGGCCTATCTAATTATCTTTTCCATCGTATCCAATCCAAGATTTCACTTTATTTATAAAATCTCTGTCAATTATCTATTGTCGGTGGTTCGAGACGACCGGATCTCCCCCGGACATCCGTGATTTGACATTTGTCATTAATTTCCTCTTGCTCACCTTTTCTGATATGTCGACAAGATAAAATAGTTTTCTGAATTTTTCAGGTAAAATATACTAAATCTATCATGAACACCTAAATAGAGGTCGATTTTCTGGGCGGCACTCCCCTTTGTTTGATAGATCGTTCACGTGTTGCCTCGCCGTATCCCATCAAACCAACCAACCTATACCTAGATATTGTGAATTCATTTCCGTATTTAATTTCCATTTATTTTCCATTTTCTCGTGTCTCCAGAAAGAAGTAATTGATATGGTTAAAATAATAGATTAGTAGAATTTAGAGAGCCTTGCAATAAAGATGAAATAAATACATATGTTTTCTAACCGGAATCGACAACATACCCTGATATTTTTTAACATAAAATGTCATCCTTCGGCCAGAAACTCCAATACGGCACGCAACGTAGGTCCTACAGCCTGTTGTCCTAGTTGTACAATGTCTTACGAATGTCATCAATGAAAGCCGAGCAATTAATTCGTTAGCTATTTAATTGGATATCGTCATGGTTTTTTTTAAAAAGTTATCAAGGAGTTCCACATATAATAATGTCGATGGCAGAAGATGTCTCTTTTTTGCTTCACTCCTAAATGGGATCACCTCTGTATTACCATCGCTGGTATTCTGACACCACAATACAGATCTTTGATCGCTTCGATTATCTTCTGGCCGATTTTAAAATCCTTCATGTACAGTACCATTTAACAGACCTAGAGTTAGTCCATGGGCGTAGCCAGAGTTTTGTTATGGGGGGCCTAGTGGAGGCCAACCTGACACAAAATTGAATTATTTCAAATTATTGTTCATTATTGGGCACCGAGCAAGCCGTTCACCTTTTTTTTAGTATTCAAAACTTTTATTTTAGCTTTAGGTGTTTACAAATCGACTCAACACTTTTTCGGCTGTGATTTCCTGGGGGGCACCAGGTTCCCTGGGAGGGGCCGTGCCCACCCAGGCTCCCCCCTCGCTACGCCCATGAGTTAGTCCTCCTTTCTTTCATCTGTACTGTTCTGTTAATAGTATGAGATGGCCAGATTTTGTCGAAGCACCTGTCGTTCTGGGGAATCCAGGATCGAATCTGGAAACCGAGTAAATTCCTCGGGATTTTTCATAGACAGTAAGTCTCGGATATGTCGTATCCCGTCTCTCACCACCTAGCCGCCCCATTGTGGACCTGACCGAATCCACAATGGAACGGCGAGTGAGAGTCACTCTTGTTTCTCACATTTGGTGAATCTTTTTATCAAAAAGTAACAATATCGGGTAGTTTTATTATAGTTTGCGATTCCCGTAAGCATCGCTCGTCATTGTTTTCCTATCTCGGACACAATGCCCTTTGTTTGATGAATTCCCGAATGTTTCATCGTCCGTTAGACCCGGAGCGGGCGATGAACCCGGCGGGGGGAACAAGAGAATACAAAAGGCTAAAAGGCCGACGGAAAACACCTTTTTTCTTTCCATCTGGGGAGCGAGCAACGAAGAGAGTTATCGGCGAACGGGACCGAGAAATAACGAGCGGTAGGAGCGAAAACCGAAAATTTCTTGTAGTATACGCCGAATTAATGTTAATTCAAATTTGGGTTGAGAGAATAAATCTTACAATGGCATCCGCGACAGGATTTTGTGTGTAGACTACAATAATGACTTCTCGGTACAATAGATTCGGGATAGGCCGCCACGAAATGTTTGAGGTGTCCAAATCGGACCCATTTCTAGAGTTTGACGCCTTTACTGACTTTACGTCTAATGAGAGTAGTTTTTTTTTTTCCAGGTAAAATTTGATGGTTCCGATGTTTAAAATAAATGGGAGAATTCACAAGTTACATCCATTTGTTCCTCACATATTAAAAAAATATAATACAATATATTACAACATAATAATATATAATAAAAATATTATTTTTATTGCGATGAAACAATATAGAATTATAATAAAACATACTTTTTATTATCTTCTATAAATATAATAAAATAATATTAATCAAATAATATTTTGACAACGAGGTGGCGTACGTGTAGCATCGTAGACCACGTGGAAAATTTCAACAACACGTGTAGTGTAGTATGGAACGTAGAATGCAATTGTTTTAAGTTAGTAAGTATGGTAAAAGTTTATCCTTACTTCATGGGCTTGGTACTTGTCGTCATAAAATACGGAGCTGGCAGTGAATCAAGCATAATTTAGAGCTGATGCAAATCTTATTACAGAGATAAACGCAATGACTATGTTTACAGAATCAATACTTGACATTTAGATGAAGGTTTAGCTGCAATGAGAAAGAAACTTTGCAAATTACTTTAAAATATCACTTTTTCTTTGTTTATATGTTATTTTAAAATGATAGTATATTAAAATTTATAATAAAAGTCAATGCTTGTTGTAATTAATATATTGTAATAGGTACACACACAAATATTTAAAAATTTATGCTTTTTTGTATCCAACTTATTATTTGAATTTTATATTTGTAGTATAATTATAAAGATAATTGAGGCACTTAAGGCATCAGCTCTGGGGATCCAAGATTGAATATAGACAAGCCACCCTGGGAATTTTTTATGGGTGGTCTGTCCCAAATATGTCAAGCCCTGTCTCTCACTGCCGGTTGACTCCATTGTGGTCTGATCAAACCCATGATGTGTATGGAAGAACACACCTAAATGCCAGAGTCAAAAACTGGAAAAAAGAAGCATAGTCTAATGATAATTTTTTTATATCCAAAAAAGGCATTAGCTCAATTATTGTAAATCCATTTAGAAACAAATAATATTAAAACAATTATTAATTATATTTTTAACACATTTCCTTATTAATTATCAATTTTTTAGAAAATCTTTAAAAAATGGACGAAGAAACCAAGATTGGGGATTTTTCTAATGTTGAAGGTATTTCATTAATGTGTATTGTTAATGATAATTATATTATCATGCTATAATTAAATATTTAAATGTTAACTATATATTTCAGAATCATTCTGTGCATCACCGGTAAGAAATTTAACAGGAACCCCAAGAAGAATAAAAGATTTATGTGTGGACTTCTACAATTCTATTCAAAACTGGAATTCTCTGTGTATAGAAGGAGTCGATTTTTTAAAGACTATTAAAGATTTAAAAATGCAAATACTGTAAGTTATTCTAATTTGAAATGTTTGTATAAAAAGTATCAATCAGATTCTAAGATTTTTAATTACAGTAGAACCCCTCTAATCTGTCACCTTTGGGACTGGGGGTATGGTCGGAACGCAAAAAAGGTCGGATTATCAGAAAAAAGTAAAATAAACAATCTTCCCCTTTGTCCAGTCTTTGTAGCACTGCTAATTTTTCATTTAATGAAAGAGTAACGTGTTTACGTTTCACTCCTGACATGTTGAAAACACACACAAAACTGTACATGTACACACAATGTAAAACACATACTGTAATGAACACAGAAAAATGGCACGGACGGTGAGTCACCGACGAGTCGGGACAAGTTTCTCGACTCCGACCACGGTCGAATTAACCGGAGTGACGGACTATCCGAGGGCAGACTAGAGGGGTTCTACTGTATAGAATTTTATCATTTTTACATTTGTTTTTTTGTGATAATCCATAAATTTTGTTAATTCTATATTTTAGTCATTCTATTGATTTTCTGGATGTGAAATACATACATTTATTTTGCGAACTATACCTTTTATTTGTGGTCTTACAATGCATACAATTGAAGGATTTTCAAGATGATACTTTATAATATAACTATAGACCAGGAATGAAATGATCAATTTTATAACATATATGAATTCAATACCTGATAGTTAAAACAGTAAACAGATCGATTTGTAACATATATTTCATACAAGGGCATTTGAAATTTTTGTGTTTTTGGGAAAACCAATTATAAGAGTCTGAGGAACTTCTATGAGACTTTGTACCATTTTATAAGCATTAAGAAGAAAATGTAACTATTATACAATACTTTAAGTAAAATCAACAGTTTAAGTAAAGGAGAAACATTTTTGGACCTCTATTTGGACCAACTACATCTCGTAATATTGATCAAAACAAATACAGAATATACACAATATTCCATAATTTAAAACCTACATTTTAATTATGATGTGTCATCTAATATGTCGACAATCTTTTGGTAGATTAATTCATAAATTTCTAAACTTTTCTCATTACTGTTGTTAATGCTTTTGAGAGATTTTTTATTTAAAATTTAATAAACTTATAGTTTTTTACACTTTAGTGCAAGGATTTATAATATTTTTTCTTGTCCATCCCCTTTTCAAAGTTAGATTTAATTCTTATACTGATACTGATACAGAATAATAATTTTCAAATAAAATGAAATACAAAATCCAATAAGAACCAATATTAATTTTTGTATTAAACATAAATCAAAATTCAAAATGTGTGTTTTACTTCAATACTTGTATTTCAGGAACGAAAAGGAAACAGACGTGACAAAACTTACGGTAAAAATTCAAGATTCTTCTCTTCAGTTACAAGAAATTGTTGATAAAATGGTAATTTCTTATTAAAATTCTGTAAACTGAATTTTGGTTTGAATGAATTTTTTGTCTTGATTATCCTTTCTGCAAGAATGTTTCTTTTCCTTCTCAGCCTGGATCAGTTTCTTCTGTTTCTCCTTTTTATCTTTCTTTTCTTTTGCTAACTCTTGAAATAACCATTATCATAAAGACTTACAACAATATCTGATGACGACAATTGCCGTAGGTTTCTATAATGATAATTGTAAGTTATTTCTTATTTCTATTTGTGAATGTCAAAATAATAATTTTATAATTTGTCTTAGTTTGATCATAATTCAGAGATGCCAACAGTAGCTACGTAACAACCAGTTTCCGCTGATGCTGTACATAAATTATAAACATATAGATAGCTATTTAAAAAACTACACAAAACTAGAACTCTCCTTTATGCTGTTTATCTGGACAAAGGAAAGAGGAAGAGTTTATTAAATTTTGTAGTGGCTCTAATGAAGAGAGAAGTGGTCAACTGACTGTGATAGCAGATGAGTTGGCTGAGAAGGTTGACAAAAAGGTTTAAGAGAAGTGCCAATTCACCAATTCAGAGGTTTCTGGTATGTTTTCTCAAATCTTTTGCACAGTTCTCCATGAAGTGATCTACTTAAGCTACCAGAAGTTTTGTGCCAGGTGAGTGCCTAAACTGCTTTTGGAAAGAATGTAAGAAACGGCAGATGGGGTTGACACTGACTTTTCACAAGCGTCATGCCAGAGAATGTGATGCTTTTGTGGATCAGATCATTGTGGGTGATGAAACTTGGGTCTTGTACATTAATACAGAAACAAAAAATCAATGAATGAATGGCATAGGGCAATACTCATTCACCAAAAACCCAAAGAAGTATGGGAAAACTTTGTTTGCCAGAAAAGCCATGGCAACTGTCTTTAGGAACAAAACAGGAGTGCTGTTAGTGGAATTCATTCAGATAATTCATATTGGAAGATTAAACTGTTTACTTAAACTATTTGCATTTGATATATGTTTTATCTATATGATAAATTGACACGATCATTTATGGATATTGACAAGATGACTATACCCTAATATATTGCCCTATTATTGTGACAAGAGCCTAGATCTGATTTAAATGTCTTCATATTAAATCTGGGCTTCCATGAATTTTAGCAATCGGTTTATGTTTTTTGCATCATTCCCATTCTATTGTCCGTGTCGATCAATTCTATCATAGGTTAGACGGCATGGACAAAGGAACAAGAAAGACAATGTCAATATAGTTTGATCCAACTGAAAATTTTCATGTCATACGGAAATAGCCATCAAATAGTATAGGTTCGAAGATAATAATTTTGCAATTAATTTTTTTACTTTCAACTCATTTATTATAAAACAATATTCTTGATTTACTGTATTTATTAAAACATTATTAATATGTTTTAACACTAAAAAAACTTTCAGTGCAGACATAAGAATGGAGAATGTAAGCAGCACGATTGACCTGAACACAAAAAGCATTTCACAGGTTGAGGTTAATAGTATTTCACCTTGGTCAACCCCAGCGATAAATGTTGACTTATGCTTAAAGCAGTTCCCCAAAGAAACTATGCCAGATTACATCTATAGACAGCACTTTGCAGAAATTCAGCATCATGACAGGAATTTAATTCCTATATACACCGATGGATCTAAATCAGATTACTACGCAGGCTCAGCCTTTGTCTGCCAAGATGAAATCGTGGCAGAACAAATATCAACAAATTCTTCCATCTTCACTGCAAAGCTGTAGGCTATTTACCTAGCCTTAAAGTATGTAATGAGAAAAGGCCATCGTTGCTGTGATTTACACTGACTTAGTGCACTTCAAGCTTTGATCTCATGTGAACCTAGTTCTCACTCCATAGTGATTAAAATCCGTAAACTGTTTTGCCATCTTATTGTGAGTGATTCCTCTGTAAAATTTTGTTGGGTCCCAGGCCACGTGAGTTCTTAATCCTTAAAACTTAAGGATTAAGAAAATTTTTCACTCTTATCTTGCATATGAAGTCCTAAATATCAAATGTTTCTTTGCATTAAGCTTATTTTCTAACACCAAAATTTATATTTGTTAGGAAGGAACAAAATTTATTTACACCTTTAAAGATGTAAATTTTTGACTGATAAAATGAAAAGCAAATTTTGTTCCTTCTTAACTTATTTTTAATGAAGTTGAATACAGAGATAGGTTACTTGTTTTTGTTGCCCTTAGTACCATTTTGGAATTGCCTTATTTTTTTTTTTTTTATAAATTGTATCGACAAAAGATGAAGATTTAGTTATTTCCATTAAAACTGATTTTCTCAGAACAGAAACTACTAAAAATTCTCTAGTATCTTTGAGTCGTATATCTGTTGTCGGGAAAACGACCGACGATTCCCAATTCCTAATAAGTGTAGGGCCGAAAAGTGTAAGTCTTCTGTCTAAGAAAAATGACTATGTTTAAGGAGCTTCTGTAATGAACCTGTTGTCAATTTATTCTAATTTAAATGTAGTAGTATAGTATCATGATAATATCATTGTCTTCAATAAAGAAATAATATATTCTAAGAACTTTTATTTATTTCTTTCGAAATGCAGGACGATATCTTTTGTAAGATGAGAGAAATAACCGATTACTTTAAGACCATTTCCGAATTAAGCTTTCACAGACATTCCGAAGAGACGGTATTCCAAACGTGGCCGCCACAAAAATTTTGTAAGTTTAATCTAAATTAGATTGTTTGCCCCAAATTATTAAATGTGTATCATCGCTATTTAGTGTTTATAGGTGAGTCAGACAGCTTTATTAAATTAAATTTACATAAAATTATACGTCAGATATTAAATTTAAATTATTGACTTCATTTTTCAGTTTTGCGTGCAATTTTTGTGTAAATATGATGATAGTAAATTTGTAATAATTTCTTCCACGTAAACGAACAATTTATATGATTCTCTTTGCCTGTGAGTGTTAATAATTGAGATTTTTATTGGAGCAGTACCTGAATTTCTTGAGGCATTTTTACATCTTTTAAAAATAAAATTTTTGCACTCAAGGTTATTTTGATTTCTGACGACAATATTTATAATCGTTTGTAATGTATTGAGCAGTGTTTTGCAATACACGACTGCTCATTTTCAAAACACTTTTGACAATTTTAATTTAAAAAATGCCCCAAAATATTTTTTGCCTTGCATTCCTTGGTAAAAGTTATGTAAAGCAATGTTTCTCAAGTCGGGTTTTCCATAATGGACCTTGAAGTTCCACGATGAAACATAAGAGATTCCAAGAAACAAAAAATGCGTGACAGCAGAGAAACAAATCTTGCCGTTGGCCAAATGATTAATGTCAAACCCAATATGTACAAATTTAAGACTATCGATAAAGTGTGGATAATCAATTACAGTATTACTATTTTGTTTTATTTTTGATCTAATTTTTTAACTACTAACAAAATCTTTTTTATATTAAGGTAGCAGAAATTGTAGCTCTCTTCCAATGTTTTGTATATATTTTTATATAATACACCAATGCAAACATAAGATTTTTTTCTCCCCTAGAAATAATTTAGGTTCTATTCGCGACTTGACTTTCTGCATCTTTTTGCAAATATCCATTTTACAGGTCCATAATTTCAATTTTTGCAAATACTGGTTATAAGTTATATTGTTCTTATTAGATATAACTTTTTAAGTACCATTTCCGAAAGAAAATTAAAATTTTTAAATTTTTTTTTATAAATTCCAGACGACACCGTGAATGAGATACTGAAGATGTATTGTGAACAATTATCTGCAAATAAAGCAATATTGAATCACTTTTGCCATTTAGAAAACGAAGACAAAATGACATATTTCATACTTGTATGGTGTCATCTGCCAAAAATTACTGACAGAGCTTCACTATTATTACATTGTATGGTACAAGAAACAAATTTACTGTGAGGATTATATTTATTCTTGCAATAAAATGTAAAATTCTTGTATATGCTACTTATCTCGAGCGTCTGTAAGTTTAAAATAAAAGTCGAGTCTTGTGTGTCCATTCTACAAAATTATTGTAGTTTATGATTCTCTATACTCTTGTAATAAATCTTTTGTCTATAAATATTTATTACTGCTATTGAATTGTCAAATGGATTCTTAGATATTCTGAAGAATGCCAAATTTCTGTCTTCTATCCAGAAATAGATATTTTGATTTTCTCGTTTGTCCGACGACTTTTAGTTAAATATTCTGGCACAACTTCAGATGGTCAAATTTTCGACTTATGTTTACTTTGCATGGTGTGTACTATCTACCATACATGGTCTGTTTAAAAAGTATCGGACCTTTTTTTTTCCCGCGTAAACCAATGATGCGCGAGAGGCCTCCTTCGGTGGAGTTGTGGAGGGGACAGTCATGCACAGCCCTGAATTTTTTCCCGCCTGCAGGAAGCGTCGGTCGTTGGCAATCGGCCTATGAATGAGGTCACGTAGTGCGCTCTCGTCGGATTCCACTAAGCTGGAAAATGAGTGAACAACGTGAGCAGTGATATTACATCAAATTTTGCCAAAAACCTTGGCGATACCCGAGCGTAAACCATTCGCAAGATTCAGCAGGCTTTCGGGGATGATCCTTGAGGCCAAAAAATGCACGGCAGGTCCGCAGCAATATCAAAGGTCATATTGACGGTTTTTTCGACTCTCGTGGGGTGGTGTGTCATGAGTACGCACCACAAGGCCAAACCATCACAAAGGAGTACTACCAGGAGGTCCTTCGTCGTCTTTCCGATACAGTGCAACGCAAACGACCGGATCTGTGGTCGATCAAAACTTGGCAGCTCCATTGTGATAATGCATCCGCCCATTCTGTGCATCTGATTCGGGCTTTCGTCGCCAAACACAATACTCCTGTGGTTCGTCACGTTCCATACTCTCCCCACATGGCTCCGTGTGACCTTTGGCTATTTCCCAAGCTGAAAATGCCGCTAAAAGGAACTTGAATTTAGTTGAGAGAAGACATCGTGCGGAATCCGACGGACCGGCTGATGGCCATTCCAAAAGATGCGTTTCAGCAGTGTTTCCAGCAATGGCAGGAACGCTGGGAGAAGTGTATACATTACCAAGGAGACTACTTTGAAGGGGATTAGGGTTTTGTACCTCAAAGTCAATAAATTTATTTTTGCCGACCAAAGGTCTGATAATTTTTGAACACACCACGTATAAGCATCAAATATGTCCTATGAGAATTCAAAAACAAAGTAGCCGACATTGCTGGCCTCTAGGAAACCTCGGCGAGTCACACTACTTCCACATCTAAACTGTACATAAATGTGACATTTGTTGAGAAAATTAAGAATACGGGAAAAATAATGTTGGAAATGACTGTGCATTTGGAGCATTATTATACAGATCTGGGTAAATATTGTAAAATTTGTTTTTAACAATTACATACTTTCTTGTTATTTCATCTATATATCCATACATAAGAAATAAAGTCTAACCTAATTTCTACCCAATTGTTTGGAAGCACGGATGTGACGTAAAGAGAAAATAGATTATCAAGATTAAAAATGAAAGATATTAATTATAAATTAATACTCTATTAAACACACTATTGCAACTAATGTGTTCGTTTATATATTATAATTTTGATCTATAATACAAAATCAGAATTCTTGTTTATAAATAGATCTACAATTTATAGACATTTTAGTATTTTTGCTATTGTGAAAAATTTATTATTTTAGTAAAGTTGTTCAGTCTGCTCAGCTATACCTTATCCAGAACCAACTTTTGTATTCTTAAATGGGAAAATAAATGCATGTAATGTTAAGTAATCAGCATTACACACTCCTCCCTCACCTTCCACGGGTCTTGAATTACCTACAAAAGCTATTATACATAGTATACTTTCAGTTCCATTCTAAACAAACATACCTGTAAGTGTCAATTCATATGCAAAAGCATTTGTAAAGCTAGGTGCTGCCACCTCTAGAACTTTTTCATTGCCGATAAGTTATACTATTACATTTCCCTCTTAGCATGTCATAGAAAGTGAAGTCATTTCCATAATCTAGTTATTTTACATATCCAAGATTTTTTAAAATGTAAATTCTTGTAATTTTAACAAATTGTTTTAGATTAATGTGTCAAAAATAAAGACATCATTTATACTCCTCTTTTTAATCTGGACTAGCCAGACTCTGGGTAGAGTTGGCACAGATGATTAGTGGTAGTATTTAACTCCAACCGGACTACTCGTCGTTTCGCAGTGTTTGGCAAAAGCTAGCTATTGCCTTCTTTTAGGGATAACTATAGTTATTTTGCTACAAATTTTAATCAGAAACATAGTAATAAATCTGAGAATAAAGAAGTTTTAATACATTTAATAGAATCATTAAGCAATTATATACAAGTTATAAAAACTGAATTTTAATATAATATATTCTCTGTGTACAAAGCTCGTTGTAAATTTTTTTCAGGATTTACAAAATTATAAACGATAAAATAGATTTTTACAAATTTAACAAAATTAATTTACACATTTAATAAATACATTTAATGCATGAATGGTTGATTTTCAAATAAAGGGCCTTAAACAATAAAAATTACGATTCTTCTCCGAAAAACATCAACGGAAATTACACAAATTTATACTTTGTTCTGTACAAATACGGGTCTCCGAATTAAGATAATACTTTCTTTTTGTTAAAATTTATTGTACGCTCGCGTCTTATTGACAGATTATCATAACAGCTCGAATTCTTCGTCCGAAGGATCAAATTTTCTTTCTTCTAAAAATAGATATTTTGTTGTTAAAATACATTCATAACTTGAATTTTTACTAAAAAAGTATTTAGACAATTAATTAGATCTGAAGCAATATTTTGTTTCAGATTTTCTAATCATCTGTCTGAATCATTAACATACCAAAATCATTTTTCTAATAGTATCTTTTGTCACTTGTGGCTCCTCCTTAACATTAAAAAATTGTTTTTTGTCCAATTAAATATCAGAGATTAAAAGATTCAAACTTGCGTGGAAAAATTCTTGTCAAGCATGTTTTCATTTTTATATAAAAATGATTAAATGCAACATACTATGAATCCAAACGCAACACCATTTAGCAGCAAGAAATTCCTTTGCTGTCCTTACTCTGACGTCAGCACATCCATCTCTTCTGATGATTTTTTGAGTCCGAAATTGGTTCTTTTGTTGGTGACATATTAAATCTCGCACCCAACCCCTATATTGACGTACATCTTGCCCTTTTTAAAACGTCACAGACCCACAATGTACAGAAGTTAAAATCTGATAATCTCCAACATTTAAAAAATCATTTTATCTTTCAAACGTTTCAATTCCCCTAATATTTCATTATTGATCCTTGATTATATTAATCAATAGGTATACAGTTTTGTAATAATGACTGCAAAGATTAAATCTAATTTATTTGATCTCAATGACCCAATGTTCTTGGCAATATTGGCATATTCATAACTTGTTATGTCTGTATGGACTAAGAGATGCATATTATGTCTGTTCTTATTCATTCTAAATGACACTTAATATGCTATATAACAAACAATTAATAAGATTTGAATACATTGTATTTATTTTCTTTTTCAACGATGAATATATTTAATTACACAGTAAACTAATTAATTACAAAAGCAAAACTTTTCACTATTTCATTGAATACAAACTTACCTTTAACCGCTCCGCCTTCGCATTCATTGTCGGAGAGAGAAAATATATGTAATGGTCTGTCTTCAAAAATTTCAAACAGAGGTTGAGCTTGGTCAGTCACGAGTAACTAAATTAATTGATAATTATTGTAAAATTAGATTATTTCAATCATGAAATTGTTTTACATTAACCCATGTTAGGCATACAAAAACTAGTACAAGTATCAAATGAACAGACAGATCCTTTATTACGCTACTTAATGTTAAGCTACTCTAGCCAAATTACTTATCAATCTGGAAGCAAAGATCAGAAAGAGGTCCATATAACTGGCAATGTGTCTGTATGGAAAGTGGGTGTTACAGTTTGAGCCGGTTCCGGGCCCATCTTTTGCAGAATATTCTAAAAGCTGCCATTTCAAGTAATTTGGCTAGAGGCCCAATAAAAAATTCAGTTGTTGGTTGTGTATGTTATTAAAACCTAGTACCATTTATAAATAATAAATATTTTTTTATAGTAACTAATTTAGTGCCCATGAGAGGGAAAGAAAAAATGTGAAGGAGATAAGGGAAACAGTACAATAGATCAAAGTCGGACCAACTATAAAATCCAGCCTGGAGATGTATTATGCATGAAATTAATTTATAGTAATGATTTGATACATTTGTGATTAGTGTTAATGAAGATTTTTACAAAGTTTAATAATTACTCAAAATTAAAATTTTATTGTTGAAAAGGTTTTCACAAAAAGATAATTCTTTCCAAAATACTAAATTACCAATATGTACTTGGAAGGTTTGATAAATGTTATTGGCCTAGAAGGTAACCTTCCATCATACTGGTTATCAAGTGCATCATGCTGCCAAGTTCTATTGTATGCCTCTTTGACATTGAAGATGATGGCGACTAGATGTCAGTGGCAAAGGAATATCTCCTGGATATCAGTCTCTAACAGTAGAAATTGTTCTGTGGTATTGGAAATCTTCCTGTAAAGGTGATAGAGTTTTATGTTTCTTCAGGTACCATGTAAATTGGGCACTGACTATTCATTCTGTTGCTTTGCTTGTGCAGATCATTGAGGCAATTGGTCGATAGTATCCGGACCATCTGTAATGTTTGTAATTCCTGTGCTTGTAATTAATTCCTGAATGGACTATCGTAAAAGTCTGGTGGGAGGGGTATATACTGTTGTACTTGAGTTATCCAGACAATTTGCTATATCTGCAATAGTCCTAACAGTAAAATCAAAACTTGTTAGGTAGTTGGATATCCCTTTATGGCACAGATGCCCTTTCATAATTGTCTTTGGTCTGTTTTTGTGTTCAATGTATTTACTAATGGATCAAAGATTTTTTCCATCTCTGATACACCATCTGGGCATAAGCTTATATAGTTCTTGTCTGTTGGATGACATCTGAACTTATGTCATGCTCTATTTAGAGCTTGCCAAGTGACAATAGTGGGAAAGATTTGTTTGATGTTTGACTTGGAATAATATGCTGTGCTGTTGGACAATAATATCACTATCCTCTGTGTTTCTTCATTGACTATTTGATTGCATTCAGTATGGAATTGTATTTCTGTCTGGTCTGTGAAATTTTGCCATTCGGCTCTTTGCACACAGTTGGTAACCTTTGATATAACAGAAGATAACTTGGAAATTGTCATTATTGTGGTGTATCTAAAGTGAGATCTGTAGCAGTATATGTAAGGATGCCAATGTTATATAAGCTGAGCAAATAGTTAATGTTTTGAGAATATTTCTACGGATATCTGCTTGACCATGGTCCTAGCTGGGAAAAAAAATAGTTTGTCCCAGCTGGGACTGTGGAAATCACCAAAAATTATCAGAGGTTTACGGATTTGATAAAAACGTAGGTCTACTACAGTTTGGTCATATGAATTGATAGGATACAATACACTGTAATAAGATCATAATAGTGTAGAACTGCTATAGCTTGTAAATTTGTGATTGATAGAATTTTTCTCATTGAGATGCAATGGGAGACTAGAATTGTGACCCACCACAAGCATTACTGGAGGTTTTACAGTCTTTTTGAATGTGCTGAAGACCTAGCTTTTGTTTCCTGTAAGCATATACAAATGAGTGTATACTTCTGTATCAAATCTTTAAGTCCATCAGTTATGTACCATATACTCTGGCAGAATTTGTAGAATTACATTATGCATTTGTTGTGAAGGAACCAGTGCTTTACACCCTTCAAACAGTTGAAGGGGATGGACTGCTTTTCCCACAGTTTACACATGTTACTAAACAAATTTGTCTTAGTAAAGCATGTTTGGCAATTGTAACATCTGATAAAATTTGGAACATAAGAGTAGACTAGGCAGTTGATATGCAATTTTTATGTTAATAGGGATACGAGGTGGAACAAAGATTAATAGAATGTGACATGTAAGAGTTATGCTTTCATTTCTTTTAATGTGGATTCTTCGAGCTGCTACAATTTCTTGATTAGAGAGGTTTTCTAGGAGTTCCTCCATAATGCATATTACATGAATTGAGAAGAATTGAGGTATTTGTGTGGAGTAAGTATAAAATTACTTTCCACCACAATGTTGTGGACTTATAGTTTCTGTACAGTTTTAGGTGAGTTGCCATCAGACTGTTTGGTAAATCCAAAATGGCAATACATTTGCAAGTGAAGGATCAGTAGCAATCCATTTATGAGATGGCATTGCTCTTCATACATATTTGTACAATATATTCTTCACATGAAAATAATTAGTCCCTGTTTATTTGTCTCTAGCCTTGCTTTAACCCTAATAAGGAGAGCAGTAACTGTTGCAAGCCTTTGAAACAAGTTTAGTCCAAAAATAATATGTAAGTTGGGCTAAAGTAGCAACGTAGTTCCTAATGCCTCACTGCACCCAGACTCATCCAGATGATTAGGGTGGGTTACATAGAAGCATAGGTCATAGAGGACTTTGTTAGTCCCTATTCTCTCACTCCAAGATCATCTTTTCTTCCTTATGGGTCACTGCCAACAGCAAACATTTAGATTTGCTAAAGCTTTCCTGCTTTACATTAGTCTGTCATAATGACTGTCATGGAACTAGTTGTCTACCACTAAGCTCTCAACAGCCAATGGAGAATTGATACCAATATTTCCAAGGGAAGACTAAGCGATTCTCATGTCTGAGATGGACAATGCATGGCTCAGACTGTGTGGTGTCATAGTTGTGGCAACAATTGTTCCTGTGCAAGGACTTTCATTTGGATCTTATTTTAAAAAAAAATCCAGCGAGTTGCTTAACTTTCCCAGCAACATTAAAAATTGCATGTGTGGCACCATCTGTTATGATATTTTATTATTAAAAACTTTTTATATTTTTAATTATTATAAAATGGCAAAAAGCTTAATTTTGAGGGCAAAGATGGGTTTTATAAAAAACTGTAAATGCTAATAATGAATAAATTGTCATTAAGTCCAAACTTACTGGAGATACACATGACCTTTTTTTATCTCTCCACCCTCTTGGCCTTTAACCACCAAAATTTAATAGCATCAATTCCCTAATAAACAAATCTCCCTGTAAAATTTCAGAAATTTTCGACAAAAAGCATGGGAATTATTAAGTTTCAAATAGGGTGAACAAAATCATGCCATATACACACATCATTTCTCAATGTTTCAAGGTCCCAAATCCAAAAATGTAAAAATCAGAGGGGTGAGATCATTTCTGCCAGATCACCATACCTTCCTTCCCTCTGTTATATATAACAATTAGGAAAGCAATAACTAATATTAGGTGAAATTTTCTATGCTTTATTCTTTCTTTGATGAAGTGAGTTTTCTAATTGACAAACAAAGAACTTTATTCCTACTTCATTGAACAAACTTTTATAGAAACTATAGCAAAATCTCTAAATCTTGAATCTGAAGGTCCAGAACCAAAAACTATTTACTTTTACATATGGTGGTACAGTAATATCTCGACTTACGCAAACCTGGAGTTACGCAATTTTCAAATCTTGTCAATTTGTCTTTTGTTTGAGCGTCACACAACTCTTGATTACTCACTCCCCCCACACTATTGTTCAGCTTATATGTTTGGACATGTCGCACAGAATTGACATATAGCTACAATTTATTTCTGTGTTTGTTATATCTATGGAGACTTGAGAGACTCTACTATGTCATCTAAATGAAATAGAACTGATTCTTCTGCATCCAACAAGAAAAGAAAAACTTTATCTTTGGAATGTAAAGTTAACATTATTAAAGACTTTGATACAAAAATGAAAATTTGTGAATTGGCAAAGAAGTTTGATCTACCGGAATCGATGGTCAGAACAATTATAAAAGGTAAAGAAAAAGTTCTCAAAGTTGTAAAAAATGCTCAATTTTTAAATTCAAGCATCATTCGTAAACGTCACAGTATTATCCCCGAGATGGAAACAATGTTAAAATTATAATGTGATAATTGAGTAAATGTGAAAAATTGTATAATAATATAATTATTATTAATGTATTATCTAAGATTTTATTAAACATTTTTTTCTAAATTATTGTTTTTTTTAGTCTCTGGCCCCAATTAAAAATTATTTGTATGTATTTATATGCGAAATTATACCCCGACTTACGCGGTTATCGCTCGGTCCCACCTATCGTGTAAGTTCGAGGTATTACTGTATATTAAAAATTTTGATTCAGGCAAAGAAGTAGAATGAGGGACATAACTCTGTGATATATATCAGGTTGTAATAATGATATATAGTAGAGCGTCGTTTATCCGAATCAATTGGGGATTGGAGTTGTTCGGATAACCGATTATGTACGAAAAAATATATTAACCTATTCCATGTTGAAATTTTTCTCCATTGTGTGTCGCTTTGCGTTGAATTTTCGTTGATGTTAAGCCTAATGTAAACTTTTTAAAACAATAATCGTGGCTATTGTATCGTTAAAAATTATTTCTTTATTTTTTACAAACAAAATAAATATATTGAAAAATATAAAAACCAAAAAAAATATACTTTAGAAGTTGATCTAGTATCAAAAACGTTCAATTCAGCACCACACACTGTCCTCAGAAAAACACCACACAAAAGTGCCAGTGCCGCCAGCTAAAACACACACACCAACAAAAAAAATATTGGAGTAGCCAAAGATTGCAGTGCCACAGCACTAGCAAAAATTTAAATTTGCCGACTGGAATGCTTTCAGTTAACCGATGTTTCGGATAAACGACGCTCTACTGTACTTAAATTCATGATATTTATTTAATCACAAAATTACTTCTCTATGCTACACTGAATTTATTCAAAAATTAAATTTTTCAAAATACATTACATCAAATTTTGATGTTTCCACTAAATTGGCAAACTTCTCGCGCAGCTTTAATACAGCTGGATAAGCAAGCCAATAACACAGTCCATTTCAAGTGAAACAGGCTATGTTATTAATTGTATTAAATCCACTTTACTAGATAATGCACCAAAAATATTTGCAGAACTTAGCGGCTGTCGCATTTATACATTATAGGACCTGCTTACAACCTATAATGTATTTTTCTACTTATCACAGAGGGTGTTTGCCAAGTCCAACAATCTATTTCAAGTTAAGGAGGGATTCAAGATTAAGAGGTTTTACTGCACTTAGATTCGTTAAATATAAACTCTTACTAATAGAAACAGATTTGATTAAAGTTTCGTAATGTGTTCCTTATCAACTGAAGATATTATTATTCATATTACCTGTTTTGACTGGTTGCACCATTTGTCAAATTCTGCTTCGGTATTACAGAAAAAACACTGAAAATTAATTTATTAATTTAATAGACGTTTCGTGAGAAATTTTTTATTTTTTCAATATTAATTAAGAGTTATACCAAACTAATAGAAGGATCCAACTGATTTAAATTCATTCTCCCTGAATAGCCGCAGTGATAACTTTCGTCATTCATACTCTCGTCGAGATCGACCGTGGGCTGAGTGGTGTGAGGGTCCAAAAATACTAGTTCTTCACCTAAAATAATTTCAAAGATATTAAATTTCAATTCTTTAGAAAGTATTCATTCTTTGAACCTGGAATTTTTAAATCTTCAAAAAGAGCAATAGTTTCTTTTTTGCTATTATAATCTTTAAAAATATCATAAATTTTGATTAACTTGTCAGTAATAGAAACATTCAAATTTGAAGACTACTTATTAATAAATATACAGGGCAGCCTGAAAATAGTTGACAGGGAGATATCATTTTACGAGTGGTTAAATCGGCTTAGAACTGTTACATATTTGTTTGTAATTCAGTCGTATATCTATGAGTGATTATTAAATTAGTCTTAAATGTAAGCACTTTCATCATGTGCACCTTCTGTGAACTAGATGTTATGGAAAAATAATTATTCAGTTATTTTATTCTAATCATTTTTTGCAATCAACGTAGAACATAAAATAGTTTTTTTAACAGATTTATATTACAGCTAATTTAATAATCACTCGTAGATACAAATCAATTTGACTGGAAGTAAGCAGTTAGGCTGCTAACATACAATTAAATTAAATTTTATAATTAGAAATTAATCAATTTTTAATTCAAATATTCTGGGAAAAAAGAACGGCCCAAAGTGGGAGTCAAATTCACAACTCTCGCTAAACATGCAAATGTATTGCCAGTATGGATGGAGTTCCGGGTAGCAGAGCTGTTAATTAATTTAGATATAATCATATAATATTGGTCATTCACTTGTATAATTTATTACAGATCATAACTATAGGCAAACAATTACCTTCACCAAACACATCAATTCTCATCAAAGTTAAATAACAAGGAAATCAAACTGTATTCTAATTGCGGACAGTATGGAAATTTCTAGATAATAATGTCTTAATCCAGCATTTTTGACCAAATCCAAATTAAAAACAAATAGAGGATTGGCATTAAGCCATAAAACAGTGCTGGATCAAGAAAAAGCAGAAACGCTACAGAAAATGTCAAAGGAAGAAGAATGAAGCATGCCTTAAAAATATATTTTATTTTGTACATTGATTCATCAAAATGCAATATTTCATATCAGAAGTACAATATCTGATCTAATATTGTTGGTGCTACCAATAAATAAGAGTCAGATATATATTTAATCGAAAACTTAATATGGGAAAATACAAGAGTATTCTGAAAAGGTAAAATAACAAGCCATTTTTTCCAAGGATTTTTAATACTAGTTCAACTTAGTCTCAACTTTCTACTTTGCTATGAAGTCAGCATATTTATTGTTATAATCGATCACTTCATCGATAACAGTATTGAAGAAGTCCTTGCCCATACTTGGTAACCTCATATTGAACCAACCAACCGATAAATTTTCTCATCCATTGCAAAATGTTTTATGAAAAGAGTTTTCCTTAAGAGAGCCAAATGAGTGGAAATCCAAAGGTGAAAGTCTGGGTTGCGGGGAAGACGTGAAAGAGTTTCTTGGTGATTACAATGCGACAAAATAACACCGCTAGTTAGAAGTCCTGGTCATTTCTGTCAAATGTTGGACTTCTTTCTATTATTGTGCAATGTTGGACAAATTAGAAGTCAACAGTATGCTATGACTTTTTGGACAGAGGGAAGTTTTTAATTTTTTTTTGTGCACCACAGATTGTGAAGTCTTGTTTGCTCTCCAAGGTAAAGTGATTTAACTCATAGTTTTCCTGTGACTGTACAAGCAAGAAAATTTTCATCTTTGTCACTGTAATGACAGATTCTTCAGACAAATTCCCACAAATGGTGTCTTATGCTTTTCTGACAATTACTTATATCTTCCAGTTTACAGAAAGTTTTTAACATTACAAGACAAGGAGACAACCTGTAATAAATTCCAGCAACAACATTTAATGAAATTAATCAAGGCCACAAACATTCATCGTAGGCAGCTTCAAGACAAATATCACAAACTTATAGAATTTGACATTTTAATGTTAGAATACCTATATATTAGAATTCCAATATTTGAATATCGAATTCAATAGGTTTTAAATGTTTGATCCGAAGCTAGCTTATTAACTAGGCTGAAAACATTTGTCAATTTCATTAAACATTTTTGTTGAAATTTATTATGGTTGTCTCCTTGTCTTATACTGTTCTGACAATTGTTGGGGTATCCAGTGAGAGCACTTCTGCTTTAAATTCATTGCACCAAACATACACATGCTTTTTTGTCATACATAGTAACTAGTTCACAACAAACATCGCTCAGCAAAGCCCCCTTTGCTTGCAAAAAGCAAACAACTTCACAAATACCTGTTGTGATCACACACGTATTCCTTTTCACTATTAATAAAAAAACAATACTTTTTGGAAAACTCTTGTATAAGAATAAAGTACAAATCTCAGATTTTGTTTAAATTCTCTCGTTGTCTGTACTTCTCAAATTAAAAATTTAACATTGATATTGTCTTTCTTTTAGAAAAGGTCTGGCAGAATTACAATTTAATAAAAAGTAAAATACATCTGGATACTAGTCCAATTTTGCTTGTCATGTTCAATCACCAGGAACAACTACAGTTGACCCCCCTATAACACGGGTTCCTATAGTTTGGATTCCTATATGATGGCGAAAAAATTGCAACAGTATCCATACAAACATGGTAAAAAAAACTATAATTCTGTAAAACGTCATCAGGCAGCCGAACTACTTTCCGCCATCCAGCACCACACTACGGAGAGTTTAGGCGGGTAAATTGAGTTTACTATCGTCTGTACAGTATTATATATAAATTATATACTGTATATATAATTATATATTAACTTATTGTAACTTTATTATAATTTAATATATGTAATTTCCGCCGTCTAGCGTGGCGCCACGCTACGAAGATTTTAGGCAATAAATTGAGTTTATTATTGTCTGTACAGTATGTAAATTAGGTACCGTAAGTCTAATACAGCACTAATTTTATACATTTCTTGTGAAAGAAACACCTCTTATTCAACGGCCATAAAAATTATTTATATTAATGATGTCTCCAAAGGTCAAGTTATTTTTATGCGAAAAATTCGTTGTCAGAAATTGCGGCCGTCGTTTCGTGTGCTGTTCCGCGATGAAAACCAGCTTTAAGCAACGGCGTAGTCGAACAATACACACTCGGTAAGTAATACTATAATTTTTTGTTTATAGCATAGTTTANATCGTGCCCGCTGTTTGGTGCGCTGCTCCGCGACAAAAAAAAAGCTTAAGCAATGGCGATGTCGAACAGTGCACACTTGGTAAGTAATGCTACAATTTTTTGTTTATAGCATAGTTTGTACGGATTATTCCCAAAAAATATACGTATTTTGGAAATGTTGAGTTGAATTAGTCTAGGAATTGATTAATTTTATGGAAGAAAACCTTTCAAACAGCCGTAGTCCGTAAAGTGCATACGTGCCGGGCTGTGATTGGCAAAGACTCATACAAAATAGATTCATAAAGAATGGAACATATCTACCATGTTATAGGGGAGTTGACTGTATTTCCATCGCAGAGACAACCTTTCTTTAGAGGCTATGCTTCTGCACAAATATGTAAAACAGTTTAAAATGTTCACAGGTGACAATTCCAACACAATTAAAAATATAATATTTCTTTGTAGAAAAGGGCTGGCAGAATTGGACTTGTATCCTGATGTATTTTACTTTTTATTAAATTGATATTATCTGCAACAAATATATGATATTTCAAAATAAATTTCATTTGATCTCTATATGATGAACTATAGTTGTAGTAGTAAATTACACTGGTTCATTCATTAAGGCAAAGAAGTGTCAATGTACGAACAAATTTAAAACAATTGTGAAATTATAATGTAAATGTAGAATGTATGCCATTTTTTACCAATAAAATAAATAAAATACTAACGACCTTCTATTATAATAAACTTTGGAAATAATAGACCAAGTCCATTCATTCCAAGCACCTGTCAGAACAAAAATACAACTGCTAGTGCATAAAATGTCTGCCAGCCATTGTTTATATAAAAAAACTCTTATTGCATCTCATATAAAATTAATTTTGTAGTCGATATTATTGCCTCTCCTTACAGTCCGTTAAAAGGTATCTATGGTAACCAGTGAAAAACACAGTTAAACTAAACAAATATTAACAAATATACAAAACTCTATCCATTTATAAAATATTTTACATTTAATTTGAATAAGAAATTGAAAAAGGAAAAGTAATTGAAGTTTACGCTTAATTGTTAGCAAAAACTTGAGAAAAACAACATTAATACGAACCGACGGTCCCAATAAAATAGAGTGCGTGATTTGGTCTTCCTCCGATAATACCCAGAGAACTATTCATTGAGAATGAAGCCTGAAACATTAAAAAAATAATAATAATAAGTTTAGGAAAATTTTTAAAACACTGCTACAAATATTTTAAAATTTAATTTTAGTTAAAATAATTGGTCAAATTACTTTGATTTATTCAATTATTTTTCCAAGTACAGTGGAACCTCGGTATACGACTTTAATCCATTCCTGATGTTTGGACTTATACTGAATTGGACGTATACCAAACCAACCTTTCCCATAAGAAGTAATGTAAAAATGATTAATCCNCCGACGGTCCCAATAAAATAGAGTGCGTGATTTGGTCTTCCTCCGATAATACCCAGAGAACTATTCATTGAGAATGAAGCCTGAAACATTAAAAAAAAAAATAATAATAATAATAATAATAAGTTTAGGAAAATTTTTAAAACACTGCTACAAATATTTTAAAATTTAATTTTTAGTTAAAATAATTGGTCAAATTACTTTGATTTATTCAATTATTTTGCCAAGTATTTCCTATTATATTAAATCTGACATTTAAAATCAAACTTTACCAAAAATGTGTAACTATTTTAAACTTTAACTGCAGATATCAAAAATCATAAGGCAACTGTCATCATTTTTCTTGTAATTTTATAAAAGAAATTCCAATTCTGGAAAAACTCATAGATAAATATGGTTAAAATCATAACAAAAATGCAATTTCAATTAACAAGTTCTGTTATGTATAGCCTACACAAGTAGTAGACTGTATGTTACTCCATGATATTTACTTAACGACAAACTTCTTGAAACATATCCTCATCACCGAGCATACCCGTATTTCAAAAATGGGTCATTGTACCCAAAAACATTTAGTTAGTACATCTATTTATGATTTTTTTCTCTAATAAAGTAACTGATTGCTTAAAGTTTCTTATTTATCATTGTTTTCAATGCTCAAACGGTATTGTTCTACAATGATTATATATTAAAAATAATATTTGTATGCTCCGACATGTAATTCTTATCAGTAGTTTTTGTACACTTGTCTTTGATTATAGCAACTTTTCAAAATACTCAACTAGTTAATAGTAATAGTGAAATGTTTTGCTCACTATTTAGAAAAGAAAATTACAAACTAATAAATTATTTTTAAACTTCTACTTAACTGCTAGAACTTTATAAATACTTTACTAACCTTGAGTGCGTTAAAATATATAGGATTTATTTCGAACAAGCCCAATCGTAACGGAATGAACATAAGTAATGGATACCATTCTACAATAGAATTCTTTTGCATAGACGAATTATTTAAGTACGTTTTGGTATCGTTAAATGGAACAGAATTAATTTTGTTCTCGTCATTGCTTCCTCCCATGTATCTTGAACGAACGACACCTTTGTTGATGTCTTGTGTAACCGAATTTGAAATCTTTGGATGGGTTTTGCATAGAGTTTCTTCATTATAAATAAAAATAAACAATGATTTAAAGACTGAATACATTAAGAAGAACAATTAATAGTAATTTTATCATCAAGAGATTTACTGTACTTGCTTAAATACAAACCTTCTTACACAATTAACAAAATTTTATCTACCTGTTTATCATTGTATACAGCTTCTTTCTGTTATTGACAATCACAGATGTAAAATAAAATGTCCTACAAAATATTTGACGACTTACATATAAAAGCTTTTGTAACAATTCTCACATAGTCACGTAATTGGAAAGAAATGCTTATTTAATCATTGAAAATAAAATTTTGAAATGTTTTGTATTCACTCAAGTACAGCATTGTTAGAAATATAAACTTACTGATATCGTTAATAATCACAACATTATCCATTGCCACGTGTATTTTAACAGAACTCCAATCATCATAAACAACCAGTTTCCTATAAATATCACAAAATTCAAATAAAAATTATGATTAAATCTGTTTATTTCACAATTTCAGTTAAAGAATTACAAATAAAATTAATGGATTTTGTTCCAAGAGTCCAAATTTGAATAATTTATGGAGCACTTTTGAAAATTATTCTCCTTATCATCTAAAAACTATATGCTGAAAAGAATATAAAGAAGTAAGATTACATTACAAGTAACTGAATACATATTATGTTGCAAATCTGGAACTCCAGAACAGTTTGAGAACAACAAGCAATTATTTATTGTGACAAGATCACAACGCCTGCAACTTTTTACCATATTTTTAACTTATTTAATTTAAAATATATGCTCTCCATCTCAAATTAGTAGTCTCTCTCATACTTTTCCAGAGTTGTGCTGGTCATCTATCCAAGTCCTTATAGGGGAACATTTTTGAATTGAAATTATGTGACTTCTGGTTCAAACTGGAAGTTCATATACACTTAATAGGGTCCTCCTGCCCCTAAGCTTTCCATGTCTTATCTGGCTTTTCATCTGTCTTACTCCATTCTTGGACAGACAAACAGACAGACAAATGAGAGTGAGAATTTATAGGTCTAAAATTTTTTAAAATTGTAGCCCAATTATACATAGACAGGCCATTAAATCCTTGGCCTAACACTAAAGCAAACACCTCATGTAAATAACCATATTATTATTCCTCCCTGCTCTTGATGCACTTCTTGTAGCAATGTGCCAATGTTTTTATCTCATTAAAACATTTAGAACTNTTTCTTTCAGAAACAGCTTTCATTTGTTTCTGGAAGAAAATAAGCAAAAATTATTGAGACAACGCTGGGCTGCAACTTTTTACCATATTTTTAACTTATTTAATTTAAAATATATGCTCTCAATCTCAAATTAGTAGTCTCTCTCATACTTTTCCAGAGTTGTGCTGGTCATCTATCCAAGTCCTTATAGGGGAACATTTTTGAATTGAAATTACGTGACTTCCGGTTCAAACTGGAAGTTCATATACACTTAATCGAGTCCTCCTGCCCCTAAGCTTTCCATGTCTTATCTGGCTTTTCATCTGTCTAACTCCATTCTTGGACAGACAAACAGACAGACGAGAGTGAGAATTTATAGGTCTAAAATTTTTTCAAATTGTAGCCCAATTATACATAGACAGGCCATTAAATCCTTGGCCTAACACTAAAGCAAACACCTCACGTAAATAACCATATTATTATTCCTCCCTGCTCTTGATGCACTTCTTGTAACAATGTGCCAATGTTTTTATCTCATTAAAACATTTAGAACTTTGATCCTCCAATCATACCTCCATAGCCTGTGTCTTCCTTTTGGGTGTTTTTTTTCAAATGGGGAAGAGATGGTAATCTGAAGAAGATAACTCAAGAGAAAAGGTGGGTATTTGGCCTGTTTGACTTCAGTTTATTTAATTTTGTCATGGTTTTCTGGTTGGTGTATGTCAACTTTGTCTTTGCAACTTTGCCTGGGCAAAACCTACTCTTTGTTTTCAGTAAAAGTACTGTAAAAATTTTATTTTGTTGTGTTGCATCATCCATTTCTGATGAATATACTATTTAAATAGATCAGGTCAAGAACTTATTGTCCTGCTCTTCTATATCTGACAGGCATGTTCATTCATTACAATACAAAATAGAAATGCTAAATTCAAATTAATTAATAATAAAAAATGTATATTTTTAATGGTAAATGGTAGATAAAAAGTTCAATTATGGTATTATACAGGGTGACTCAAAAGGTTACTGACAAACTTAAGTAGAACATAGAGGAGTCTGAATAGAGCAAATTTTGATTAGGAACCAATGTCAGAAGTAATCCTGAGTTAGTGCAAGTCTTTGAATATAAGTAACATTGTGAACAATGTATCAATAAAATATTAAATTTTATACAAATTAAGATTAAGTAAATAAAGATTATTAAATGCACTTACAAAAGGTATTTGAATTAGAGATCACCATATTGAATGTAGATAGTGTATTGTCAAATGAAATTGGCAAACTCTCTCAAATATCTCAGGCATCTTCTGGATCCTGCTGCACGCAGCAAATAATCTGGGTCATCCACTAGTGTCTCATAGACAAGGCTTTTTGATATATATCAAAGGAAGTAATCAAGAGGCATTGAGCAAGGAGCAAGCTGGCCATTCAACAGGACTTCTTCTAAACTATTGTCCAGAATTTATGAGATTCAGAAATTCCAGTACATGGGGAGTGGTATTCCATCACGTTACATCCATATTTGGTGATGTACAGTACAATAAGTGGCACATTTTCAACAGCTCAACAATCTCTTCCAAAAAATATCCCATAAATCTGTCTGTTCAAACACAGTGGCAGGAGGTAATGCCTGATCCACTGATCACCAATAATACTTGCTCATTTGTAAACTGCAGACAGTGAGTGTGTACAAATCTAGCATTGGGATTGTGTTATGCCTAAACATGACTTTATGACAAAAGAAGCCATCTCTGGTAAATGATACCTCATCCAAAAACAACACTCTGCTCAAACACTTCATTCAAACATTGATGTAAAATTCATTGGCAAAATTGCACCATTATGGGAAATCTTCCATAGACAATTCATGAACAATTTTACTGATAATAGGGGTGCAGCCGCTTTCATCATTTAATGCCAATGCACCCAAATATCATAAATATAGTATGTATTACAATAGCATTATTGATTTGATGCTACAGACATCAGGAGTCAAAACAATTTCTGCTTTCTTTAAATATACATCTGGCCGTGTCATAAGTATTTAGTGAATACCAAAATACTTGTCTTTGATCATATTGCCAATAGTTATGTTAAATACAGCCATCCTATCCAATAAATGCAAATCATTCAATTTAATAATAGGGTAAATTCCATATTTTTGCATTTCACATATTCATAGTGAAATGCAAAAAATTTTGGTATTTGCAACTATTTTCATTATTTTCAAAATTAGAATTCAGCTATTTGCAGCAAGATTAACAAAACAAAAAAAAAAAAAAAAAAAAAAAAAAAAAAAAAAAAAAAAAAAAGAAAAACTAATAATAAAATGATTTTTAATGTGTTTTTTAACCATAAATTAGTTCTACTGCAATTCATCTTGTCGGTTGGTATATGGCACTAGTTAGTTATACACCAACCGAATGCCGATGGTGTGTAGCTATGTTATATATCGGGTTTAGCGATGTTTGTATATGGCACTAGTGGATATTGTCTTAATGTTTCTTGCATTATTTTAGTACAATCATTTAAATAGATAACAAACATTGTTTTTCATTAATATTTATTGTGAATGTCAATGATGTATTTTTATGAAAAAATTTTAGTTAGTTTTTCATTTGTCCTTACATGTCAACAATATCATTTAACAAAAAAAAAAAAAAAAACTGCATTTGCAAAATATCAAAACGACCGAAAAAGTGATGTCTTGAGGACACAAACTACTAGATCACTTTCAGGAGGAAATTTAGCGATGATTATGCATGCCTTTATCATAAATAAACCTACCATGCTGTGTTAAGACAGAGAGGTAGAGGTTAAAAATGTGATGGCAAAAGTTCTTTGTAAGAAAATGTGTTCCTATCCATTTTGTATACAATTTTACATCCATTTTAACCAGACTTTTTCTAAAGAAATCTCTAAATCATTTCAACAAATTTACACAAGCAATAAATAAAATTAAATAACTTTTTAATATTCTTTTCCTGATTACTTACTTTAAAACGTGAGCGACCGTATTTGGTCCGAACCATTCGCCAATATTTTTACCTTCGGATACACCCATCTGAGCTATAAATTCAAGTTAAAAATTTATTAGGATAATATTTAAAAAGTTAGGATAAATATAATTTTATGTATATAATACCAATTTGATGGATGGAATATAGACTATTTTTTCTATCTTGAAATAATTTTAATATTTGACAATATAGAGAATTTTTCTCTTCTGCTTTCCATAGCCAATCTGAAATATTAATGTTTATTATAATTAAAACAGCTATAATTCTTCAAATTAATCCATATAAAATAGTATTTTTTAAATAAGTGGCTCTTCAAATCATATTTTTCTTAATGGCCGAATGGTTGAGATGGTTAACGTGCCAGCTTACAATTCCAGGGAGCAAGGGCATCTCATCCGAGCAATCAAAATCCCCTGGAATTTTTTGTGGGTGGTCTATCCCAGATTTATCAGGCCTCTCCTTCCTCTAACCTAACTTAACCACTCCTATTGTGGACTAGCCAAACCCATGACAGGGTAAAGAAAAAAAAGGTCCTATTAATGCCCAAAGGGCAAAAAGAGCAAAATAAAAAAATATGGCCTGAAAATTTTAATCTCATTAATCAGTAATTAATAATACAGCATAAAATTCTAATAAAATGATTATTTGCATATTCAAATCTGAATAAATATAATATTTTAATTTTTCTTTTAATAAATATTTGCACAGAATTGAACTGAAACAAAATAATAAATTTTTAAAAAGATTAAATAAATCAAATAATTTGTAAACATAAAAAACTTTATTTACACTCTGTTAAATTAGTAAAATATTAAATGCTAAATATAAAATTTGGTAAGATAAACAGAGATAATGGAATACTAATATATATTTAGTTTGTGATATTTATTTATCAAAAATTTATATGGAAGGTTTATATCAAGAATTTCAAATATATTTTTGATTATAATACAGGATGTTCCTTTTAATAGTAACCAACTTCTTAAATGAGAACTTTGAGAATCAATATAATTTTGTGAATGTGCTACTATGTCAAGTACATGTTACACAAAATATCAACTTCAATACAGCAAGTCCACCCAACAATGTCAATAGGTTCTTTGAACTTGCACCGTTAAGCAAAATGACACATAACAAAACCAATTTTACCTTAGGCTAAATGATATAAACATATATATATATATGTCTGTAGCAATAAATTCTCAGGATCTGTTAAGAAGTTTTGTCTTTAATATTGCCTTTTACCACGGAATAAACTAATATGAATGACATGATTATGTTAGATTTTTAATCCAATTTGTTATTTGAACCGATTATGATTACCATATGTGCCTAAATAACAGTTTTAAACAAGAATTGCTATCCTCAGAGTTGTTGAAATTTTAGATGAATGTGTAATATTTCTTAAGCTATTCACTTTGTAAATTTATGTTATGTTAATTCCACAACAATCTGTCTTAAAAAATACAAGTTGTCTTCCAACCATTTAAATATATATATATATAAAATATAAAATTTTTTGTTTTTAAGTGCCAAAACAAAAAAGAAACTTTATGTAATTTTGATATGAATTGTCAAATTACAGAACCTTATTGCATAAGACTGAAAAAAAAATCTTACTATTAGTTGGTTCGTATTATTGTTAGCAAGCTTCTATTAATGTAGAGTGAAAGTGTTATCTAAAATATGAATAAAAGATGCTAATATGAAACTATTTTTACAAGTACAATAAGTAGGGAAAAATAAAGTGCTTCAAATTACATCTGATTTCTAGTCTTGTTTTTCTTGTTTTGGTGTACATCACATTCATTTTTAATTGAAAAATAAATGATATGGGATGATTTATCAGTACCAGGTAAGAGACGTGAAGAGGAAAGGGGGAGGCATACTAATGGTGGCACAGATTTGACTCATTACTTATCATCAATGTCCCAAACCTCTGAAACAAGAGAAAATATGCTGGGATCTTAGTTTGTCTTGGGTGAGAGAGAGTCTAGTTGTGTATCTGACTACTGGCATGATTTTTGACAATATATGCACAAATTAGCAATTTATTTTGAAATTTTCAATTTTTGTTTAAATCTTTTTCATGAAAGAAAAACAAGAGATGAAACTTATTAAAAATAAAAGAAAATCTAAAACTGTCTATTGGCATTACTAGTAAATATGTTTAATTAATGAGTGCTTTCAACTGTATATAACTTTCTTCAGATAACATGGCAGATAGAATGTTTTAATTATAAATCAAGAGATTTATAACATCACAAGATTTATAATGCAATATACAGTTTTTAGATTTTCTTTTATAATGTTTTTCATTCCCCCCCTTTATTTCCAGTCTTAATTGAGTAGGCTATCTTGATCAATAAGTTGAAGCAATGTGTTTAGTGGAATCCAAAAATTAATATGGAGCAAGCTACTTGCAGCTATGCCAGTAGAATGTTGTCAGACAAGATTGTGTATATGAAGAGTTATGTCATTGAGTGTATGAAGCTCAATATAGACCATGCTTATCTACACTGTAGATGAGTCAGCAAAAATAGAATTTTCTCTTGTAATAATAATTTTTTTGTAGTTTTAATAATTTTGTTGAAATCCTTGAAAATATAAAGTAAAATAATTGTACAAATAATTTTTTTTTCTCCTCACTTTTTCTCTTTTATTATTGTTTCATATTTATAAAGATACTAAAACAGAATATCTTGAGATTTAAATATTTAGCAAAACTATGTATATGGATATGCACAATAGACTTAACTGTTCAATGACATAGGTCACATAAGATGATGATGGAGCTGAAAAATCTGTAGCCACCTATGCCAGTTCTATGTTTATATACATAAATTCTTATCATTGTGTAGACCAAGGGTGGGCAACCTTTTTTATAACATGGGCCAGAATAAATTTTACGTTTTTTCCGCGGGCCATAGTAGTTAATTGACACCTTGTGACCTGTAATTTTTTAGTCTGCAATTATGAAATAAATAAATAAATAAATAAAAAGAAATTAATTACTACAGTCGACCCCCCATAACACTGTTGATTATTCCGTTTTATATGAATTCCATGTTGTATGAGTCACTTAGATTTTACAAATGCGTGTGCCGGGCTGTGAACGGCTCACCTTTTTGTAAAATCTAAGTGACTTTAAACACAATAAAAACAGCACTATGTAGTTGGATACGACAGACATTACATTTTCTAATTGCATAGCTTTTGCACATAGATTTTCTTGATGGATGATGCGA